TTCCCAGACAGCTAACACCACTGAAAAAGTGCTTCTACCCTGAACCGAACAGTGCTGATGGCATTGCCTGCAACAGACAATAAACAGCAGAAAATTATTTTTGCCAGTATATTCCTATCAACATTGAGAAGGCAAATGGATCACCGATTCTTAATTCTAGAAGAGTCTTTATGCTTTGACAGAACAATCACTGCAGATTGTCGCATGGAGTGAGAGAGCAACCCTCTCTCAGACAGCCATTAAAAACCTCCACCAAATATGGGGCCAGGGTAACCTTAAAGTGCTTAAAAAACTTGGCTGTTAATCCGTCTGGCCCAGGTGACTTCTTAATGGCAAGCTTATCAATAGCTTTGAACACCTCATCTAACATGATGTCCTCTGTCAAACTCACAAGAGAACTGCCATTTTACAGTTTTGGAGTAGAGTTCGGAAAACTACATGCTCGCCCGATCGAGGGGTCAAATTGTGGTGAGGGTTGAGAGGCTCTGCAGGCCAGCCCCTCTGACATTTTGGAGGAAGGCCTTGGAGGCAGAGGGTGGATCTGAGGAGTGACTGGCTGCACTCTTGAGGGGTTTGTCTTGAGTAGTTCTTATGGCCCCACGTGCTTGTATGAATGCGTGACAATATCAGGGCATGCTCCTAATGAGAGGAGAAATGGTGTTCTGAGGTATTTCCTCCAAGATCTGGACCAGGGCATCACTGAACTATTGGACAGTCTGAAGTGCAACCTTGGCAGCAGGGGTCCTAGCCAATCCCCAACAAGGCAAGGGGCTGGACACCCTTAAAAAGTGCTGGAGCCTGTTCAGTGGCAGTAGTGTGGGAGGAGTCGGGTGGACAAGTGAGAGAGGAAGATGTGAGGCTGAGAGCAGGAGGCTGCCAGGAGGCTTAGTGGGGCCTGCCTGTGAGCCTGGAGTTGGGAAGGCGGAAAGCTTGGAACTCACTGGCTCCCTGAGAGAGGGCCTCCTGTATGGCAGGGAAGGATCAGCCCAGCTGATAGACCTGGTAGAAGCAGCTAACACACAAGTGGTACAAGAGAGGATCTGAATGAGTACACCTGATCCCCCTGGGAAGGAGCACTCTGGTGGAAAACCAGATTAGCCCCCTACTAGTTATTGTTCACCTATGTAAAGGGACAAGAGCAAGATCCCCTGCTCAGAAAAACCTCTTGATTGCTGGATGAAGAAGAGCATTTCATCTGGGGTCTGGGGTGGTACACTAAGGATATACTGGCTAGCTCTCCAACAGAGACTTTGCTACAAAAAAGAGAAGCTTGTGAATAGTTCCAGAAAGTTTGTCCTCAGTTGTCGGTTCCCTTGGGCATCCTAAACCCCCTTTACCCTACCCCTGTTCTAAATCCCATCAATAAACAGCAAAACAAAAGCTCAAGGACTGATTTCTGACTTTGAATGCAAGCTTGTGTGGAGAATGCAGATTGCCTGGCTGTGCAGGACTATAGGGGGACCAAAATCAACAGCAACCTCCAAGGAGATAGTGTGGTACTTTAAAAATCTTCAGTGAACATACAATGCAATTACCTGGATTAGTACTAGTCTAGATCAAAAACCGTAGCTGCCTCCATGTTTCAGCTCTCTATTACACTTCACAGAATGATAGCTAGTGGGTGAATAATTTAGAAAGTATATCTATCTGTTGAGTAATTAATGAGGTGATCCTTTATTGTTTTGTTGCACAATAAAGGAGGTGATCCTTTATGAAAGGGGTCTTGAATTAAAGTGTACGGATGTCCAGTTAGATGTCCGAATTCCATGTTTGTGACCCCCTTGATATCACAGTTCTACTCCCCTTTAAATCACAGTCTTCTCTTTAAAGCAGTCCCACAGTGTTCTCAGTTCCACCTTCACATCCCAGTGCCCTTTTACATCCCAGTGCCCCTTTGCATCACAGTGCTCCTTCATGCTACAGTGCCCATTTACATTGCAGTCTCCTTCACATCACAGTACCTCTTTACACAATACAGTGCCCTTTTACACATCACATGCCCCTTTACACATCACAATGACTCTTTACATCACAGTGTCCTTTACCCATCATAATGCCCCTTCAAATCACAGTGTTCTTCATGTCACAGTGCCCCTTTGCACATCACAGTGCCTCTTTACACCACAATACCCCTTCACATAACAGTGCCCCTTTACACATCACAGTGCCTCTTTACACCACAATACCCCTTCACATAACAGTGCCCCTTTACACATCACAGTGTCTCTTTACACCACAGTACCCCTTCACATCACAGTGCCCCTTTACACATCACAGTGTTTCATTATTTCACAGTGCCCCTTCCATTTCCTCCCTTACATCACTGCCCCCATTAAATTTACAGCCTCCCCTGCACAGTCCTTCCAGGGCAGAGGCACCTATTAGATGGGTGTTCTCTTCCGGGTCTCCTGCCTGGCTGCCACTATCATCCTCACAGAGGGCGGGGGGCAGGAAGGGGCTGCAGCTCTGGGCAATGGGTGGAAGCTACCCAACTTTTGTTAATAAGTGAGTGATAACCCACTTGTTAGTTTGAAAAGCCTCCCACTCTCTGTGCACATCTGCTGCATATCCCACCCCCTCCCTCTGTGAGGATGGTAGCGGTAGCTGGGAAGGAGACCCAGGAGAGAACACCCAGCTAATAAGTGGCAAGACCGCAGTCCAGATAGGCCTGTTACTTGGTCCAGGTCCGACTGCGGTCCACCATGCTTTATGAAAATGTATTCCAAATAACCTTGGAGTGGATCACCTTTTATATCGTAGGTTAAGGTGGGTATAGGTGATTTGAAAATGTGCTAGTGCTCTGGGATTTTGGGACCTAATTCTTTTGTAACACATCCTTCTTCATCTTTCAAGGTAACATATGCATATACAGTATGTATACAAATGGGTGGGTTACTGTTTAAGGAGAATTCCTTAAAGTGGACCAAGACTTGGCAACCCTATCCTTCAATCCATACATAAAAAATTATTTGTGGATGATTAGCATTACAGTAGGAATTCTGTGTAGGAGCACTTCTGTTCTAGAGTTCTGCGTGTCTGTACAACAGCTGCCATGTTGGTGAAGGTATAAGCTGTCCTCAGACAAGTCTTGCTAAGTCTAGTTCCTCTCCTCTGATCACACCATTATTTTAACTTGATGCCTCTGATATTGCCTTACAATCACATGAGTAAAAATATTCTGCTGCTCAGAATAAAGAATGATATGCTGAAGGTATTTTTTTACATATCATTTTGCCACATTAATGCTAAATTCTGGGCACAAAATGTAACATCAATCGATTTGACATGTGTCACTTACCCATGCTGAGTGGCCTCATTCATTTTATTTACTCTAAAAAGCATATATAATCACTTGTTAGTTACCTGATGAGTGAACAGGGGGAGTGGAGACAAGTCCGCAGTGCTGGGTTCGCTGCTAGGCCAAATGTACAGTGGCAGCTGTTCTTCCATAAATGTTAATCAAAGGAAAGACATCAATAATTGAAAACAGGCAAATGAAAAATATCAGATCAAAATATATTAAACATCTTGTGTTTAGAGTCCAGCTGTGGTAATTAATTCATGCTACACATTCAGAACAAGCATTCTCAGTAAAGGTCCCCTTTAACATTTCTCTGTCAAAATACATCTTAACTTTTATGATAACAAATAAGGGAAGCATTTTTCCTTTCTACCCTCCTATGAACTATATGCGTTGCTCTAAAACTATTGGCTTATTTTAAGGATTCCTAAACCATAACATGGCAGTTCAGTAAAGTAATGATGCCTGTAGGATTTGGATTTGCGTGCTGCCTTCCAATAAATATAGTAAGCAAGAAAATAAATGGATTTGAGAAGACAGAGATCCATTATAGCCTACCACAATGTCCCTGGAATGACAAAATGTGGAGATGAAAATACAGTTATTGTGCAAGGAGTGGTGACCATAATCACAGTACATCACATAAGCTGATTCTTACTATATAGTTACACTAGATATGCAAGCGCGAGGTTGAGGTTTTGGATTATGTAACTGTGACATGAGGTTGCCTGTACTTTAATTATAGCATTACACTTTGCTAAACTGGAAATATAGACATTGAACACAGTTCCTCCAATTCAGTCTTCAGAGATTTTTAGCAGTATAGCTTTGCAGACTCTTTCATATTGGAAATAACTACTGTGTACTCTTAAAATATTTTGAGAAACAAATGTAAGTGTCCAATTCTAAAACAAAAGCCAATTGTTCTCAAAAATAGTTAACAGAGCATTATCAGTATTAACTTGCACATTAGAATTGTTTTTTCATATATTTTCTTTGTTATGTTTTTTATAGTGCTTGGTTGATCTACTTCTTACTCTGAGTTTTCTGGGTTGTGACCCAAATAGCAGGATATCAAATACACACAGCTGAATGATCAGAGGAGGGATACCCTCCCCTCCTGGTAGAGGCAGCACCTGTCTGGAGGAACAATCAACAAATACACAGCTGGTGCTGGACTTTCTCATGTTTCCATTTCCAGTGATTGTGCCTGAGCCTGGATACTGGGATAACAGCATCTTTAGACTCCTGTTGACAGGATGAAAGGATTTCCTCAGTCTTTTCAGTGATCATTCACAGGACCTGATGTCACACTCACTTTCTGGCTGCTAAAGATGAGCAGCAGGAGGTGAGATGTATGGGACAACTGGTGTTCACAAAGCCAAGAACATAAACACTTTTGCATTGGGGCGCAGGCATTGGATTACAAATTTGCTTCATCTCTAGAGCAACCTCTTAGTATCGAAGGTAGATCCAGATCCTGAATGATTCCTGAACAAAGACGGCAATGATCATACCTGGCAACCTTTGTAAATCAATGGCCCTGAGAATGAGGGTAGGGTGGGGCTGGATCTAATAGCCAAAATGTATTTAGTGGATGCAGCATGAGCCAAAAATGTGTGAATGATTGTAGCACACCACAGTGAATTGAAGAGTTCAATAGTGGTGCAAAATTAACAGTGGCAAAGGAAGAAATGCCCAATATCAGTGTAAGGAAAAAATTTCCCTATTTCTGTGGGTGAAAAAAATACCCCTGTGTCAGTGGTAGGCAGGGGCGGACTGACCATTTGGAAACTCGGGCACTACCCGAGGGCCCAGGGTCAGTGGGGGGCCCCATGAGATGCCCCTGGTACCTTTTTCATAGGCTTTTTTGAGTTTGGGCAAGAACACAGGGGCCCCATGATCCCCTATTGCCCGGGGGCCCCATGAGTTGTCAGTCCGACCCTGGGGGAGGAAAAAAATTATTCTGCATTGGTGTCAGTGGCAGGAAAATGCATCTGCATTGGTGTCAGTAGGATAAAGAGGGAGAGCTGGAAGGCCAGGGTGGAGGACTCTTTAGGGTACACTGAACTAAGGGGCCCTGTGTGGATCTAAGTGAGGGGGTGGGGCTTAAGGGCACTGAGGGGGATAGGGTGGCTAGGGTTCTCTTCAGGTATTTGAGAGAGAGAAGTGAGCTCTGGGGTGAATTGCTCCCCACTCTCCATGTACATGCAGTTTGGACCTTTAAAGCTCAGTGCCTCTCAGGAATGAAAGCTGCTTCTCATTCTTCCCATCTCTGGACACAAGATATGTCACAAGGATAAATGGGAACAGGGACGTTCCACCCTCACCTCCTAGTAAGCAGTTGCATTAAGAAGGAGGTTTGTTCTCATCCGGCATACCCTCTCTGCTCACAGTAGGCTGCTTCTGGAGGCAGAAGAGTGCAGAATCCTTCTTCAAGCAGCTAATGCAGCTCTTGCTCTGCCATTACAGGACAGATGTTGTGGTCACTCCTGTTAAAAATCGCCAGAAAGCCAGAGAACTGATCCCGATAAGTAACAAACCTGTAACATCAGTGAAAAGCAGGGTTGCCAACCATCCATAAATTTACAGACAGTCCGTAAATTGTAACCATTTACAGGCTTCCATAATGTCCATTTACGGACGATGGGTGAGCATTATTCACGCTGATGATATTTACCCATCTCTGGTGCGCATGCGCATTGCGTCAGCAAATCGTGTCTGCGCATTCGCAAAGGCCATTATCGCAAAGTCATCATGCACAGTACTTGGAATCCATAAAAAACACACAACCATTTCCAGCTGGACCTTGATGAAGAAGGATCCCCTCTGCTGCTTCGCTCAATCCACTCCAGCAGGCTTGCCTGACACAGACTTGGCATGTTTGCTACTGCTATTACTAGTACTACTCTGTCACAGGTATTGTTGGCATTTTTGTGTGTGCAAAAGTACAATTTGAGAATGCAAAAAGGCCTCACTGCTTGTCAGCCTATGCCTAAGGCTTAAACTCTGCTCTCACAGAACACATAATTGTTATGTTTGCTAGTACTACTCTGCCTTGCCAATGCCACAGATTATTTGGAGCATTTTTGTGTGCACTAAGTTCAATTTGAGAGTGCAAAAATGCCACGCTGCATGCTTGCCTATGCCTAAGGCCTGTCAGCGTGCACAAACCACATGTATGTGATTGTGAATGTGTGTCCTACTACACTACGGCCACCACTGAGATTATTTTGGGCATTTTTGTGTGCACTAAGTTCAGTTTAAGAGAGCAAAAAGGCCACGCCACTTGCCTGCCTAACTCTGCTGGCACAGGCCACACGATGTTTGTGATATAATATTGTGAATGAATGTGTACTACTATTATCTCACCACTGAGATTATTTTGTGCATTTTGTTCGGCAGTTTGCTTGGCCAGCCAGGAAGAGGGTGAAGGAGAAAAGCAAAGATAAAAGAGGCTACGCCCAGTGGTCACTATCATTTTTGCTTTTCTTTCACCTCACCCCCCCCCCCCCTTTTTTTTTTTTTTGTGCTGATGGGTTGGATTTTCCTGCCAGGCCTGGACTGTGGACTACCAATCAAGCCAGCTTCTATACCACGGTGCCACCACTACTGCCTACCCAAGAAGTACCTGCCTCCTGAGAAGCATTTCCTTGGCTTCATCATGGTAAACAAATACACAATTTGCTATAGTGTGTCAACAAATGATCTGTTATAGTGAGTCTCATGGTATTCTTCTCTCCCTCTTTGTGCTTTAGGACTACCCTGTCTGCTCTGCTTGCTTAGTAGTACGCTTGCCTGTGTAACTCTACTCACACAAGCCACAGAAGGTATGGATGCTAGTACTACTAATCCACCAAGATTATTTGGTCATTTTTGTGTGTACTAAATTCAGCTTGCCTGCCTAACTCTGCTGGCACAGGCCACACAATGTATGTGATATTGTGAATGAATGTGTACTGCTACTACACTACAGGCACCACTGAGATTATTTTGGGTATTTTTTGTGTGCACTAAGTTTAGTTTGAAAGTGCAAAAAGGCCACACCGCTTGTCTGTCTATGCCTAAGGCCTGTCTGCTCACACAGGCCACATGTATGTGATTGTGAATGTGTGTCCTACTACACTACGGCCACCACTGAGACTATTTTGGACATTTTGCATGTGCACTACATTCAGTTTGAGAGTGCAAAAGGGCCACGCTACTTGTCTACCTATCTCTGCTGGTACAAGCCAGACAACGTATGTGATATTGTGAATGAATGTGTACTTTTACTACTACACTACGGCCACCACTGAGATTATTATGGGCATTTTGTATGTGTACTAAGTTCAATTTGAGAGTGCCAAAGGCCACACCACTTGCCTGCCTAACTCTGCTGAAACAGGCATGTCCACATGTATGTGATTGTGAATGTGTACTACTACACTACTGGCAACACTGAGATTATTTTAGGAAAGAATCTCAGTTCAGTTTGCTTGGCCAGCCAGGCCCGGCCCAGTGGCAACTATCATATTTACTGTTCTCCTTCACCCTCTCCCCTTCTGTTTTTGTTTTTGTGCTGATAGCTCGGATTTTCCTGCCTTGCCTGGACTGTGGAATCCCAATCATGCCAGGTCCTATAGCACGGTGCCACCACTGCCGCTACCCATGTACTGCCTGCCTCCCTGTTGCAACTCCTGACCGTTCCATTGGCTTCTTCATGGTAAGCAAATACACGATTTGCTGTAGTGTCAGCAAATTGTCTGCTGCTCTAGTGAGTCTCATGGTGTTCTTCTCTCCCTCTTTGTGCTTTAGGCCTATCTTGTCTGCTCTGGCTCTGCTTGCTCAGCACACTTGTCTGTGTAACTCTGCTTGCACAAGCCACAGAAGGCATGTACTGTATGTTAGTACTACTCATTCACTGAGATTATTTGGGGCATTTTGTGTGCACTAAATTCAGTTTGAGAGAGTGCAAAAATGGCAAACGGCTTGCCTACCTAAGCCTAACTCATCTGTTGGTACAGGCCACACTTGTGTTTGTGAATGTGTGCTACTACTACTACACTACTGCCACCACTGAGATTATTGTGGGCATATTGTGTGCATTAAGTTGTGTTTGAGATGGAAAAAAAAATGTCACGCTGCTTGCCTGCCTAAGCCTGCATCTGCTGGCACAGGCCACATGTACAGTTGTGTCCAAAATTATTCAACCCCCACTGAAATTGAGTGTTTTGGCCAGTTTGACATTGCTTTTGATCATTCAGTCATCTTGCTTACATTTACATTAAAGAGGCACTTGTAGGTCAGACAAATATAACATAACAGTTATAATGAAATAACCACAAATGTCTTTTCTGTGCTCACAGCATTATCAGTTTTATTCAACCCCCAAGTGACATTCAATCTTAGTACTTAGTACAGCATCCTTTTACAGTTATAACAGCTTTTAAACGTGAAGCATAGCTTGACACAAGTGTCTTGCAGCGATCTACGGGTATCTTCGCCCATTCTTCATGGGCAAAGGCCTCCAGTTCAGTCACATTCTTAGGCTTGCGCACTGCAACTGCTTTCTTTAAGTCCCACCAGAGGTTCTCAATCGGATTTAAGTCTGGTGACTGCGATGGCCACTCCAAAATGTTCCAGCCTTTCCTCTGCAACCATGCTCTAGTGGACTTGGAGGTATGCTTGGGATCATTGTCCTGTTGAAAGGTCCAACGTCTCCCAAGCCTCAGGTGTGTGACGGACTGCATCACGTTTCCATCCAATATCTCCTGGTACTGAAGAGAATTCATGGTACCTTGCACACGCTGAAGCTTCCCTGTACCTGCAGAAGCAAAACAGCCCCAAAGCATGATTGACCCTCCACCATGCTTCACAGTAGGCAAGGTGTTCTTTTCATCATAGGCCTTGTTCTTCCTCCTCCAAACATAGCGTTGATCCATGGGCCCAAACAGTTCTAATTTTGTTTCATCAGTCCACAGAACACTATCCCACAACTTTTGTGGTTTGTCCACATGGCTTTTGGCATACTGCAGTCGACTCTTCTTATTCTTTGGAGACAGCAAGGGGGTACGCCTGGGAGTTCTGGCACGGAGGCCTTCATTACGCAGTGTGCGTCTTATTGTCTGGGCTGAAACTTCTGTACCCACATCTGACAAATCTTTTCTCAGTTCCTCAGCAGTCACACGGGGACTTCTCTCCACTCTACGCTTCAGGTAGCGCACAGCAGTCGAAGTCAGCATCTTCTTTCTGCCACGACCAGGTAGCGTTTCAACAGTGCCCTTTGCCTTGAATTTGCGAATGATGCTTCCTAAGGTGTCTCTTGGTATGTTTAACATCTTTGCAATCTTCTTATAGCCATTGCCCTTCCTGTGAAGAGAAATCACCTCTTCTCTTGTCTTCCTGGACCATTCTCTTGCCTTCACCATGTTTGTAACCACACCAGTAAATGTCTAGAAGGAGCTGAGTATCACAGTCATTTTAAAGCTGCCTAATTGGTGCTTATTATGCTTGATTGCTGCTCGGTGACATCCACAGGTGTTTTCAATACCTGATGGAAAGCACCTGTATGAACCTCTGTTCTTCAGAGTGGTAGTCTTTAAGGGGTTGAATAATTGTGGCAATGAAGAAACCACATAAGAACCATTTACTACTGTATTACATAAACAATTGATGTCATTTTAGTTGCATTTGGGTAGTTACAACGTCCTTGTAGGATTTGATTCTGAATACAATTCCAAATGTACACTATAGTCCCTAAACCCCTTTACAGCATTGGGGGTTGAATAATTTTGGAC